TATATAAAGAAAAGAAATAAAAGAACTTGTTATTGAAATAAATTAGAATATTTTAAAATTATCTTTAAGTAATTTGCAGCGTCTTGCAAGTGAGTACCGAGTGTGGTGTGTTAGTTATAAATTAACAAGTGTAATTAGAAGCATTATATAATAATAAATAAAATTAGCATAAACCACTATTTTTATTTATTTAAAATAGAATTTAAAAATGAAATTAAGTGAATAAAATATATACAAGTGAGTATTTCATCAAATAAATGACATATTTTGATATATAATATTTTATGGTCATTACTATAATAAATAAATAATTGGATATTAAATATAATAGAATAAGATAAATATTTATTAACTTAAGAATGATGTGAAGTATTGCACATAATGTCTAAATAAGAGAATATAATTTTTTTAAATGCATAAAGAATTTTTGTTTGCTTATTAGAGATTAAATTTATAGCGCATTACAGAATAAAAGAATCTCTTCATATTATTCATGAGGTATTATTAAAAGAAATGATCGTGCACTATGACAAGGTATATTGTGCCCATTACTCGGGTTAGAATGTTTCTCCAAGTCCGTTTTCTTTAATGAAAGACAATATAAAGTCCTAGTCTTTCCTAGTCTTGAATATTTATGATCCATGAAATACCCTCCTAGGTGTTTATTCCGTTTGTGCATCAGTGGACACTACCCAAGCACATGGTATACAGTTTCTCTCTTCTCTACAGTATCTGCAGTCTGAGTTGGATTGAATTCCTAACTTCGATAGGTGATTATTCAATCTTTAGTGACCGGTCATTAATAAACGCAATAGGTATACCATATACTAAAACATTTTATAAAATAAATAAATAAATAAATAAATAAATAAATAAATAAATAAATAAATAATGAATCTTCTTATCTTCTTTTTACACATATTTTGTAGCCCTAAAAAGGGCTGTTTTGATGAATTTAAAGTTTGATTTTTAAAATTATTTTTTTGCAGCAGTTTTCTTGACTGATGTTTTTTTAACGGTAGTTTTTTTAGGTTTTGCGGCCGCTTTAGCTTTTGTAGAAGTAGACTTTGGTTTAGCTGGCTTAGCCTTAACAGATCCAATCTTTTTAACACTTTTAACTTTAGCTTTTTCAGTTTTTTTCTTTTCAACACTCTTCTTAGCTGCCGCAGATTTCTTAGGTTTTTTCTCTCCAGATACCTTTGCCTTTGACTTTTTAGTACCTGCAGATGATGCAGTAACCTTCTTCTTCGTAACACCTGATGGCACCTTCTTTTTCTTACTCTCGACAGACGATTTAGGAGACTTAGCAGCAGCAGCTGATAATTTAAATGAACCAGATGCACCTTTTCCTTTTGTTTGTATCAATTTGCCATTAGCTACAGCAGTTTTCAAATATTTTTTAATAAATGGAGCCAATTTCTGGGCATCACATTTATATGTGGCACTTATATACTTTTTAATTGCCAACAATGAAGATCCGCTGCGTTCCTTCAAGTTCTTGATAGATGCATCAACCATTTGTTGTGTTGATGGATGAGATGGAGCTGCAGAAGGTTTTTTTACTTTTGTTGCCTTTTTAACAGCAACTTTCTTTTCAGGAACGGCAGTTACCTCCTTTGGAGAATCTGTATTTGCAACGGCAACAGCTTCAGACATATTTGCTTTTTAATATTCCGTAATATTCTTACTTATGAATATTTTTTCGCATTTTTATGGTAGCTTAGCTCACTTTGTACGAAGCGCCGAGAAGAGCGCATTTATAAAAATTGTTCATTAATACATATTTCTACTGAGTTTGAAAAAATTTTTCAACATTTATTATTAATTTTAAATAGACCAAGTAAATTAAACACAATTATTTAAATCAAATTAAGTAAAGAAGATATTGAATATTTTATTACATTCATTTTTATACTAATTATAATTATATAAAATATATAAAAATTGGTTTAAACTTTAAATTTTGTAAATCTATAGTTGAACTTGTTAATAAATTAGAATATTTTAAAGTTATCTTTTGTATAATTTATATATTAAATTATTTATTAAATAGTTTATTCAATTCTCTGTTAAATTATATATATGGTTTTATATATTTCATATATTTATAAATGCAAATTTAATAAAACACGAGATGCATAAAAACGTCAGTTTTAACATTTTGAATGCTTATGTTTTATCCTATTTTGAAATATTAACTCAATTTATATAAAAGTTTAAAATTTTAAAGCACTAATAGAAATAATTATAAATAAATATATTGTATTTTAATTAGAATATAAGATTATCACTTTTAATTATATCAAATAGTGTCTATTTGAGATTAGATATCCATCCATAATGTTAACATGTTACATTGAATTCGTTTACTTTAAAATATGTTTTAAGATTTTCTATACGTATTATTTTTAAAATTTTATTACAAGTTTTAAATAATTTTTAATCATGTGAAAAATTATTATATATAAACGTTATTAATAACATATCAGCAATTAAATTTATAGTTTTCAATATCATTCGAATATAACAACTGTACGTATCCTACTTAATAGAATTCATAAAAAAAAATTATATCTACATACATGATTAAAAATATATAAGAATGAAATCATTTTACTTTTTCTTTTATAATTATAATTTAATCATTTAACTTTGACTATTATAAGTATTTTATTAAATATGTATATTTAAAAAAAATGTTCTTTTTATTACTTTATAATTAAAATAAAATTAAAATTAGATGTGCGTATTCTAACATTTTTATAAGGAGTGATATACGACATAAAATGTTAAAATTTAAGATGAATTTTTTTATAAACTAACATGGATATGGATAACATTTAAATAGATACTGAAGTATATATATAAACTTGCGGCTGCAATCTTCCATAGTCATTCCTAAGAGCTAGTTTTAGTAGGTTCAAGACTCACACAGTGGCTTCGGATGTTTTCCATCTACTGCCATAAATCTTTTATAAAATATAGAATATTTTATAAAACTAATTCAGATACAAATTTTAAAAACTCTACCTTTAAATAATTTATCTATAATAATAAATATTACAATACCAAAATATTGAAATAGTAACTATGATAATAATAGTAAACATTTAGGCCGTGTGCGAGTTCGAGTATATTTAGGGGAAATAGTCAATTATGTCGGTATGGCAGCGATTGTTGGTACATACCAGAATTTCTAATGAGATAAATTAGGTGTTACCATTTTGAAAATTTTATAAGATGTTTAGTAAATAAATAAATAAATTTTAAAACTTTTAAAAGAAAAATAATTATTTTTTATATGTTTCCTTCTTTATATTATGAATATTAATGTTTTTTAATAATTGTATCACATTTATTTAATAATAAATACAAATATTTGGCACAAAATTATTAGTTTCTTGATTTCAAAAAGGTAATTATGAAACTTTATGCTATTGACCTGGCAACGTTATTTGTTTTGTACATTTTTATTAGTAACAAATATAATATTAATATTATTGTAACTTAGATTATACTACCTGCGAAGATTTATGTATCTATTTACTGATACGCGAATCTATGATAAATATTAAAAAATTCTTAATAATATAAAGGGTTAGGCGATTGAAGTGTTACAAATTACACAGAGATATGTTTGTCAAACTGATATTGCCAACTACGTCAAATTCATATGAATGACAGCTATTTATATTGTTTACAAATTACCACAAGCATTTGCGTCTAAGTTTTATAGAACTAATATTATTCGAAATGGAATTAAAAAATAAGTGTGATTGCATTATATTTGGTTGGAAAATTACAACTAGCTATTGTGCTTGAGCTCAAATATCTCAATGTGAATAAAATGTTTGTGTATCGTACCTTAAATCGTTATAATAGCTCAGGCAGAGTCACCAAATGCTATAGTGGTGGACGAAAAAAAAACAGCAACATTGCCTAAAATGGTTCGGAAAGTGAAGGCTCGACTTAAACGAAATCCATGTCGTAGTACTAATCAAATGGCCAAAGAACCGATAATATCTGAACGAAGCATCTGACGCATTTTCCAAAATAAGCTCAAGGTAAAGCTTTAAAAGTTCCAAGGCACAAGATCTTGCACCAAAGCAACAAAAAGTTAGACTCGAATGAGCAAAGGAGTTGTTACGCTGGGCCAATTTGGAGAGCAAGTTGAGAACTAAAAAATAAGCCAGTTTCGATACGCTGAAGAAAGCTTTTATTCAGGAATAGGCCAAAATACTGGAAGATCACAGCCATAGTCAAGACAAAAGGTGGCCACATCAAGCTAGAGTGAATGGATTGTGAAATTTTAATTATTTTCACAAATTTTTGTAATTTGAATCAATAAAAAAATAATGTGATCGCTTGAATAGGTAACACTTCAATTATCTAACCCTGAATAATAAACTTGCATTCTTAAAAAATAGTGGCACAGCGAACCTGATTTCTAGGAAGTCAATTGGAACGCATACACACTCGTATGTATAAAAACTGGTTAATACCTGCTGCCCAAAAACAAAAAAAAAAATTATTACTATGTAGCAAAACGCAGTGTTAAGTTATACACTAACAATGCTATGTATTTTATCTGTTATGTAGGCTGATTTACAATTTTCGAAGATTTCGATTTCATGAAGGTCTTCCAGGAATGTAACGGAACAGAAGGGCGAGGCAAGAAATGATTGATTGTTAAGTGTTTTAAAGTATGGCTTGTGTAAGTTAGTAGGGTAGGTATGATAGTATGTACAATATTTATATCAATTGATTTAATGAAATACATTTTCTTTAATAAAATAAATTTTGTCGTCCTGAAAAGGACGGATTAATTGATAGTTAATTCTCCACGTATATGTATTCGTATTTTAATAAATAAAATAAAATAATTTAAGCCTTCTTTTCTGTTTTCTTTGGCAAAAGTACAGCCTGAATGTTTGGTAGTACACCACCTTGTGCAATTGTAACACCAGACAATAATTTGTTCAATTCTTCATCATTACGTATGGCCAACTGTAAATGACGAGGAATGATTCTTGTCTTCTTATTATCGCGTGCTGCATTGCCAGCCAATTCAAGAACTTCAGCAGCCAAATATTCCATAACGGCAGCTAAGTAGACTGGAGCACCTGCACCAACGCGTTCAGCATAATTGCCTTTACGCAATAATCGATGAATACGACCAACTGGAAATTGTAATCCAGCACGATTTGATCGTGACTTTGCCTTGCCTTTAACTTTACCACCTTTACCACGACCAGACATAGTTGAGTTGAGTTTCTAGTAGTTGAGATTTATAAAAATTGGATCTATTTTTTTTTAATGATCTGATGTTGTTTTGTTGATTGGAGTTAGTGCCTGTTGGTACCTTTACTCCCTTTTTTTTGTGAACATCTTAGTTATGTTCACTGGGTCAATCTGTTGTCTTCATTTTTAATACTTTAAATTGTCCTTAAAGTATTAGACTTCTTAGGTCGGCGTACCTGCCCTTTGTTCGGTGATATCCTCTGGGCGTTAACATCTTTAAAGTTGGATTTCTGTGATTGTCCACCTTCTGAAATAGTTTCAATGCTTTGTCCTTGATGTATTTCTTTACGGTTTCTATTTTCAGATCCTTATGTATGTCCGTGTTCCTGATGTATGAAGGGATATTGAGTATACGTCTTAGTGCCAGATTTTGTGCTATTTGTAGCTGGGCTATGTTAGTTTTTGCTGCTTTTCCGTACGCCACGCATCCGTATAAGAGGTTGGGTCTTATTATCTGCTTGTAGATTAACATCTTGTTTTTGATGTTTAGTTTTTTCCTCATCATTGGTTGTAGTGATTTTAGCAGTCCGCTGCAAATCATTCTTTTTTCACGTATGTGAGGTTTCCAAGTAAATTTTTTGTCAAGTAAAATTCCTAGATATCTTACTTTTTCTTTCCATTCTATTTCCCTGTTGTTAACCCTTAGTTTTTGTGGATTTTGAAACTTCTTCCTTGTTATAAAAATCGCTTGTGTTTTTTCGACGTTTATTTTGATTTTCCATTTTTTGAAGTATTTTTCCAGTTCCTCTATGTATCCTTGCAGATTTCTTGTGATCTGTGTCTCCTTTTTGCTGGAATACATAATGCATGTATCATCGGCGTAAAGAGATAATTCGTTTCTCTGTGCTTTGGGAATATCCGCTGTATATAGATTATACAGTATTGGTGATAGGGGTGATCCTTGAGGGACTCCTGCCTCTATATTCTTTGTTGATGAGAAGTGATTATCCAACCTTACTGTGAATTTCCTATTTTGAAGGAAACTTCCGATGATCTTAATTAAATCCAATGGGATTTCTTGTCTTTGCATTTTGACTATTAATCCGGCATGCCAGACTTTGTCAAATGCTTTTTCTATGTCGAACATCACTATCCCTGTTGATTTCCGTTTGCTCAGTGCTGTTAGGATATTTTGTGACATTCTTGCTAGTTGAAGTTCCGTTGAGTGATTTTCCATAAATCCGTATTGCTCTGGAGGAATTAGTTCTTTCTCTTTGACTGTGTCTTTCAGTCTGGAGAGAATTATTCTTTCCGCTATTTTTCCTATAGCTGGCAACAAACTTATTGGTCTCCAATTTTGTGGAAAAATTAGATTTTTCCCCGGTTTTGGTAGCACAATAATTGATGATTTTTTCCACGTCTTTGGAAAATGTCCTTGTTGAAGTACAGTATTTATTATAGTTGT